GGGATTATTCAATATGTGACCTTTTGTGTCCGGCTTCTTTTCACTTGGTAGTGTCCTCAGGGTTCATCCAAGTTGTATTGTATATCAGTCCTTTATTACTTTTTATGTCTCAGTAAGTTCCCATTGCATGTGCATACCACAGTTTATTTACCCATCCATCTACTGATGGATGTTTGGGCTCTTTCCACTTTTTTGCTGTTGTGAACAGTGCAGCTATGAATATGGATTACAGTTACATGTTTGAGTACCTGTTTTTAATTCTTTTGGGTATATACCTAGGTGTGGAATTATGGGGTCATATGGTAACTCTAATTTTTTGAGGAACTCCTGAACCACTTTACCAGCAAGGTACAAGGGTTCCAAATTTCTCCATATCTTCACCAACACTCGTTCTTTTCTAGTTTTTAAAATATTATTATTACAGTGGGTTGAAGTGGGTAGGTGTGAGATGATACTGCATTGTGGTTTGGATTTGCATTTCCCTAATGCTAATGATGTTGAACATCTCTTCATGTGCTTGTTGGCCATTTGTATATATTTAGAGAATATTCAAATCCTTTGCCCATTTTCCAGTTGGGTTGTTTGGGGGTTTTTTGGTAAGAGTTCTTTATATATTCTGGATGTTAGACCTTGAACAGATACATGATTCATAAATATTTTCTCCCATTTTAAATGTTGTCTTCACTTTCTTGTAATTCCTTTTTTTGGTACTTGATATGTATTTTTTAAATTATGTTAGTCACCATACAGTACTTCATTAGTGTAATTCACTTTCTTAAAATATTCTTTGTTGCACAAAAGTTTTTTAATTTTGGTGAAGTCCATTGTATTTATTTTTTCTGTTGCTCCTCGTGCTTTTGGTGTCTGATCTCTGAATCCATTGCCAAATCCACAATGATAAAAGATTTACTTCTATATTTTTTCCTGTGAGTTTTATGGTTTTAGCGGTTATATTTAAGTCGCTGATCCATTTTTAATTAATTTTTGTATGTAGTGTGAGGTAGAGGTCCAGCTTCATTCGACTTTTTTATAAATGCTGTAAAAACTAAAATACATTTAATTCATGACTTCTTTTAAATATGTTTTTAGAGGTCAGGATGGAGCAGGTTTTGCTGAACCCTGAATCCTAGTGGTTTTTAACAGCACAATTATTTCTTTTACTCATACTGCATGACTCTCTGTTGCTTGGGGACTCTGGTTTATGGTATCCACAGTCAGGGATGAAGGCTGACAAAGCTTCCATCATGTGGTCACTATGAACTTTATGAACTTTTATGTAACTTTTTGTATTTCACCTCAAAATTTTATTTTTTTAACTAAAAAAAAGTAAGTTTTGGTACTGAAGGAAAAAAAAAACATTTAGTTTACAGACCAGCACAATACACTCACTAAGCTTTCTAGTTTTTGTAACAACACCTCTCAAAGTCATGAATTAAGTGCATTTTAGTTCTTATAGCTCAGGCTCTTTAAGGCTACCACTTTAACATAATTTCACTCACCAGAGTAAGTCATTTAGCTATATCCAGCTTGAAGAGAAAAATGCAATCCTACCAGGTGCCCAGAAGGAGAAGAAGAAAAAAATTGGTGGTGCACAGTGCCCACCAGATAACATCACTGAACTAGTGTTTGCAACATATTTGGAAGTGTTGGTTCCAAGATACACAATTGAGAAACATTCCCATTTAAGGGTGTTGGCAATTTTTCTTAAAAGGGTATAGTAAAACATCATTGATTCAAAATTAGAGGTAAATTTTATGTTTAACTGTGCTTGCTGAAGTTTACTTTTACATTATTTGGAAAGAAAAATTATTTAGCTAAATGTAATGTGGGATTTAGTGATGAGAATTTTGGCTTAATTTAGAAAATAATTTTTAACTAGTTTAATAGGAAGTAATTCAGTGATGCTTACCAGTAGGTGTCAGCCACAGCCCATGCAAAGTGCTGCTTATTTGTCAAAGCTTTTTGGACAGGTACTAATAAGGGGTTGGGTTTTTTTTTTTTCCCCACCCAGTATTCTAATGAACAGTTTTCTTAAGGTCAACTTGCTTATTTTTAAATAAAAACAGAGTGTATCTACTCGTTAATAAAGATAGGGTAACACACCATTATAGCAGGAGAAACATTATTCTGTGCTTAATTGCGTGTGGAGCTGTATAGCTTGAAAGAGCTAACTAAGTTCTCATGGGAAGATTAGAATAATGTTTGATGACACCAAGTAGGCATCTGGAAAGAATGACCACAGGTCCTGTGAGTCAGCCAGATGCGATACCGATTGTTGCAGATAGAACAGATGAGGTTTTTTTTTATTGGATAAGTCTTTCCTTTTCAGAGAAACAGCTGTTATTATATTAAACCTTTTATTGAACCCCCCCCATATTCCCCCATCCTCAGCTGCCTAGTTTGCCTAGGAAGCTTTGTATGTATGTCCATAAATGGAAGTGCATATTCTCCTTAATAGAGGAGATACCAATACTAAAAGAAACATTTTGAGGATTTGGACAGATCCAAGAGTAACATATGAGGAAAGACTTGTTGTGAAGGATCTCATTGCATATATTAATATCAAAACATATAAAACAGGGGCACCTGGGTGGCTCAGTCGGTTAGGCAGCTGCCTTGGGCTCAGGTCATGATCCCAGGGTCCTGAGAGCGAGCCCCGCATCTGGCTCCCTGCTCCGCGGGAAGCCTGCTTCTCCCTCCCCCACTCCCCCTGCTTGTGCTCCCTCTCTCGCTGTGTCTCTCTCTGTCAAATAAATAAATGAAATTTTAATATATATATATATATAAAACAAAAAAGAATCAGCATTTGAAAATGAAATACAAGTGATTTTATAAAAAATGAGTACTCAGTAAATGCTTCTTTGTCTTCATAACAATATTTGTATTCAGTATTTGGCTATCAAAAGGACAAGGATATATGTATATATAAGCAGCTTTGGATGCTGTTGTGATGTATTTAAATACATCAGTATATCAACTGAAATTAGTGATGTCATTTCCTTGTTTAAAAAACCGTGGATTTTTATTGTGTTCAGAATTTTTTAAAAAAGTTTTCCCATAGTATAAGATATAAGCTCTAATGATGTTTTCCATGCCACTCTCTGCAAAATCATTATAGACCTTCGTACCCTATGGCCCAGACATAGCAAATTAATGGTATTTCTCTTACTGAGTGTTTATAGCCCAAATTGGATAAATTATGATTGATTACTCAATTATGGAGCAGTTCATGCTGTGGGTACTACATTTTTTAACTTTTAATGTAATGTTTTTCAATTATATGAGACATAACGTGCTTACCATTAAAAATTCAAATTATACTAAAGTAGATGGAAAATAGCAACCCTAGTCCTTTCCCTAATGATAATCATTGTTACTAAGTTTCTATATGAAAATTTACTTTCTTACAAATATAAAACTGTCTAGTTTTTCACTTTTGTTTTTCCATTAACACGACTTTTTTAGAGGTGGGTGGGGCAGAGAGAGAGGGAGAGAGAGAAAGAGAGTGAGAACCTTAAGCAGGCTCCATGCCCACCGAGCCCTACAGAGGGCTCTATCTCACAACCCTGGGATCTTGACCCGAGCTGAAATCAAGAGCTGGACGCTTAACCGACGAGCCATCCAGGTGCCTCTAACACAATTGTTTTTATGGCAAGATTTTTGAAAATGAAAGATCTGTTGAGAAGTACTATTAGGGAATTAAAGCAGAAGAGATTGAATTTGCAATTTCCCAGACATACCTCCCTCTCTCACCTTTTCTGTTGCTTCTCGTGCCTAGAAAGCTAACGGGAACTCTTCCTCCCTGCCCCACAGCAACCTCTGAAAATTTGTCTTTCAGGACTCAAGCCACACCTAATTACTACTAAAAAACTATTCCTGATTCTTTGTTGTTGATATCTAGCCTACGCTACAGTATGTTTGAGTGTAGAATAAAATATATATACATATACTTTTTAAAAAAAATATATAAGTGTATATATATATATATATATATATATTTTACTCCTGACTCAGTATGCTCCTCTAGTCTCAGCAACTCCTGTCTTTGTGTAAATTTGAACTGTGTGTGTGTGCCCGCGTGCACGCACACATGAGCGAGAGAGAGAGGGGAGAGGCTTTCAGTTACTTGTAGGAGGCTTTTCCTTTTACCCAGTGCCTTCAGCAGAGACCTGCTTGCAGTCTGTGAGTGGAATTTCTGATCTTTACATGGAAGGGCCAGTCCTTCCAAAACTCAATCTTGTAAGGCACCTAGATTCGTCCCAATCTGTCTTCCCAATGGCCTGTTTCCTATCCCTGCCATACCACACCCCTTAGGACCTGTGGCAGGGTCTGCCACTCCTCTGGATCATGAGCTCCAGCTTACTCTGGTTACCCTGAGCTTAGTTAGGTCTTGGTTTCTGGCACCTGGGGATTTCCCTTATTTTTTTCCGAGGCACGTGATTTGCGAGTTTGGGGGGGGTGAGTGTTAGTTTTCTAGGGCTGCTTTACCAAATGACACAGGCTAGGTGGCTTAAAACAGAAATTTATTCTCTCACAATTCTGGGGGCCGGAAGTCCAAAATCAAGGTGTGGGCAGGGTGGGTTCCCTCTCAGGGCTCTGAGAGAGAGAATCTGTTCCTTCCTTTCTCTTTGCTTCTGGTGGTTGCCAATGATCATTGATGTTCTGTTGGCTGTGTCACTCCATTATCTGGCTCCATTGTCAGATGGCTTTCTTCCCTCTGTGTCTGTTAAGAACAGTCTAGTTTCTTCCATGACTGTGGTGGAATACAAGGTTTCTGGTTTTTCCGAGAGAGATTGATTTTTAAATGTTCAAATGTATAGGTTTAAATTATAGTATGAGCTATGTAAGCATAAAACCCAGACCTGCTGCTTTATTATTTTTGCATTATTTTCTCCAGATTTACAACCCCCCCCAAAAGATACTACTTTGTGTTTAAGCTCATTAGAAATGTTTATACATTTTTCAAAAATAAAATTTAATTCTGAGTTTTTAATTTTCAGCCAGAAAACCTTGCTCAGAAGCTTCCAAACCTTGTGGAACTGTGAGTCTGTTTATTCAAATTTTTTAAAAAAACAAGAATGAAAATAATTTTAAGTTATTTGAAATAATAGGATATATCATTTTAATGTATTAATTTATTTTTTGGTATCATGGTCATAGTGTTCATGTAGGTAGTTCTGCTAAACCCAATAATATTTTAAAGTATTTTACCATTTAAATTTGTGTTTTAAATATCTCACCTTAAAGTAGTAAAGATAAACTTTTTAAAACTATGAAAGATACATTTTTTTCTCGGTGCAGCCTCTTGGTCACAAAATCCTTCTGGACAGTCAGTGTAATTGGAAAAGTTTATTGCTGTTACTACTACTATATTTGTTACTTGATATAAACAGTTCAACAGTGTTTAAAAGCGTTAACATAAAGAGTGAAAACCTACTTCCCTGTGTCCTCCATACCTCATTTGTTTTTTAGTTCTTTTGATGATCACCTCCATAATGCTAAATGATATGTTTACACCTTTGTTTTTTAGTGCATCAACTTTAAGTATCTATTGATTTACCTGTAAGGAGGATATTTAGAATCTTTCCCTTCTTTCCAGCTCCCTCCTAATTTTGTTGAAGGAGGAGTTTGCTTTGCCATTTCTTGTTCTCTTTATTATTTGGCATGATTTTCAAAAGGTAAAGGAAGGAAAACTAACATTACACCTCCATCTTTAAGCTGGGAGTTTGTCATTTCCACTCCCCCCCATCCTTTTATTTTGAAAAATTTCAAACTAACAGAAAAGTTGAGAGCATAAGACAATGAATACCCATATATGCTTCATCTAAATTTAACAGTTAACATTTTGACACATTTGCTTTCTCTTTCTGTCTCCTCTCATCTTCCTCCCTCCTTCCCTTTCCAGTCCTCTCCCGTGCGCGCACACACACACACACACACACACACACACACACACACACACACACAAATTTCAGACATTATGATACTTTACCCCTAGATATATCAGTATATATCTCCCAAGAATAAGGGCAGTCTTGCACATAATTCTAATATTATCACACATTAATATTAATTCAGGGGCACCTGAGTGGCTCAGTCGGTTAAGCGTCCTACTCTTGGTTTGGCTCAGGTCATGATCTCAGGGTCGTGAGATCGAGCCCCGTGTAGGGCTCCACACCGGACGTGGAGCCTGCTTAAGATTCTCTCTCTCCCTTTGCCCCTCCCCCTGCTCATACTCTCTCTTTCTCTCTCTCTTAAAAAAAAAAAAAGTAGTATGAGTTCAGTAATATCATCTAATGTACATTGCATATTTAAATTATCCAAATCTCTCTCTCCCCCACCCAGTGTTTTAAACTACTGTACAGATTTGTCTGATTTAAATATCTTTGGTAATTTTTCTACCCCACTGCATTATCAAGTTTTTAATTTCATTCTTTTTATATATGTGTATATATATGTGTGTATTTTTTGAAGTTTTTGAGAGTGTTGCATGCATCATGTTGGGTTTTTTTTAACCTCTAAATTCGTCAGTGTATATTTTCAAGAAGAGGTCTTAACATTATTTTAAGTCTACTTTTTGTTTTTATAGGTTCTTTACAGTTTCCTTCATATAGGTTTTGAACATTTCTAAAGTTTATTCCTAAACATTTATATATGTTTTTTGCTAGTGTAAATGAATTTTCCTACCTGTTACCTCTTTTAAGTGGTTATTTTTGAATATATGAGCACTGTTTGTTTTCATGTGTTAACTTTATATCTTGCTACTTTGCTGAAATCTTATTATTTGAGTTAGTTGTATGGTTGATTCCTCAGGGTCTTTCAGGTATACTCTCTTCTGAAAATATAATGTTGTTTCTTTTTTTCTAAACCTTATGCCTTTAATTATTTCCTCTAGTCTGATCGCATTGGCTAGTCCTTCCAGAACAGTGTGAAGTTAAACTTGAGACAGTGGGCATCCTTGTTTCTTTCTGACCTTAGTGGGAATGCCTCCAGGGTTGCCCCATAAGAAAGATACTGGCTTTACAATTAATGTATATGTATTCTATTGTGTTAAGTAAATACCCATTTGTATTAATAATCTATTGCTGCTTAACAAATTATCCGTAATATAGTGGCTTAAACTGTGGGTAGGGGTGCTTAAAAGAATAAATACTTATTATCTCATATTTTCTGAAGATCTAGAATCGGGACTTGGCTTAGCTGGGTGTCTTGGCCTCAATGTCTCTTTCAAGGCTTGCAATCAAGGTTGTTGCGCAGAGCTGCTGTTTTCCCTGAAGGCTCAACTAAAGAAGTGTCCTCTTTGTTTACTTAGTCGTTGTTGGCAAGATTCAGTTAATCTCAGGTTGTTGGTCTGAAGGTTGACTCAGTTCCTTGCTGGCTGTTGGCCAGAGGACTGACTCCCTTACTTCCTTGCCATTGGCCTCTCTGTAGTGTCGTTCCCAACATGGCAGCTGGCTTCCATCAGTGCAAGGAAAAAAAGAGCAAGAGAGGGTATGCAAGACAGGATCCACAGTCTCTTTTTAATCTAATCATGAAAGTGACATCCCATCACTTTTACTATATTCTGTTCATTAGAAACAAGTCAGTAGGTCCAGCCCACACCTAAGGAGAGGCTACTACCCAAGGGCCTAAATGCCAGGTAGTGGAGATCAATGGGGACCATCTTGGAGGCTACCTACCACACCATTAATTCCTACTTTCTCAAGAATTTTTTATTAGTAATGGATGTGGAATTTATTCAAAGCCTTTTTCAGACTTTAAAGAAAAAAATTCTTGAGGCCTTCAGGCAAAAAAGTGAAACAATCATGAAGATGAAGAAGACTGCAAAGTAATACTCCAGACTGTATTATGTATACAGTGGTGGTTGCATTCACACTTGACAGTGTTTTTCTTTGAGCGCTTTAAAAGTATTTTTATATAATATATATGTAATTAATTACATATAACATTTGTTTTACATAAGAAATAACAATACATAAATATATTTGTTATAAATAAGTTATATAAATGAAAAAATAATGTATAATTCTGTGTTATGTATATTATATATAATAAATTAGGGGGATTTTAATCATTTTCCACATGTGTTAATATATCATTTTTCTATGGCTACTTTCAAGATTTTCTTTTTTGGTTTTTAGAAATTTAACTATGATATACCTCAGTATAATTTTGTTTGTATTTATGTTGGAGTTTGCTGAGCTTCTTGAATCTGTGAATTTATGTCTTTTCCCAAATTTGAATATCTTCAACCATTATTTCTTTAAATATTTTTTATGCACTATTCCCTTTCTCCTTCCTGGGCACCGTTTACACATCTGCTGATGTCCTGTGTTCCTCTAAGGCACTGTTCATGTTTCCTTAGTCTTTTTTTCTCTCTGCATTTTATTTTCTTTTAAGATTTTAAAAGAAGAGAGAGAGAGAGAGAGAGCACAAGCAGTGTCGGGGGGGAGGTGGAGAGGGGCAGAGGGAGAAGCAGGCTCCCTGCTTGATGTAGGGCTTGATCCCAGGACTCTGGGATCATGACCTGAGCCAAAGGCAGACGCTTAACTGACTGAGCCACCCAGGTGCCCCTTCTCTTTGCGTTTTAGATAAGATCATTTATATTGATCTTTCTTCAAGTTCATAAACTCTTTCCTTTGTCATATTCTGTTATTCAGCTTTATCAGTAACTTTTTTCAATTTTAGATCTTTCTTTTGTTTGTTCGTTCATTCATCTCTCCATCCTTCCTACCTCCCTCCCTTTTTTCCTTCTTACCTAAATTTCCCATCTTTACATTACAGGCATATTTTACTTTAGATCACTAGGTATAGCTGTAATAACTACATAAAAATTTCTTGTCTGCTGATCCCAACATCTTGGTCATCTTGAGCTTGATATCTATTGTTTGTTGTTGTTAATGGATCACATTTTTTTGTGTTTTCATATGTTGAATAACTTTAGATTATATCCTGACAGTTGGGAATGTTGTGTTTTGGAGACTGGAATCTGTTATATACGTTCAAAGGGTGTTGATATTTTTGCTTAGCAGGCAATTTACCTGGTTTGACTTAAGCAGTAAATGTTTCCTGGAGGGCAGTTGAAATCACAGTGCACTTCTTTTACCTTTAGCTGGAGTTTTTTCTATATTTGCATGGTTCTGGGATTGCCATTGATTTAGGCATAGTTTAGAAATAGAATTTGGGGTTCCCCTTCCCTGGCTCTTTTTTTCTGGTATTTTCCCTTTATTTGCCAGGTTGTGGTTGCCCTGAACTCTGTCTTCCTGTTCTTTAGGCTAGTAAGACTGAAGTTTTCTATCAGAATTTTAGCTGCTTTGCATGGTAACTGTACCCTGCCTTAAACTAAATCTGTTTAAAAAACAAAACAAAACTCAAACTCACCCAGTGCCATTCCTTCTTCTAAGTTTAGACTCTTCACCAGAATTGGCTTGTTTTTGTTTACTCTGCAGTGTAGAGTCGTGTCTGTGTGCGTGTGTGTGTGTTCTTTAGCATTTTAGTAGTTATCTGCCAAAGGATCAGTCCAGTAGGAGTATATTCTGCTGTACTGAATTGGAACTTGCATTCTTTTCTTTTAACCGCTCTGTGTCTTTATAATTCAAGTGGGTTTCTTGAAGTCATCACTAGTTGGTTCTTTGATTTTTGACCAATCTCACAATCTCAGCTGTTTAACTGGAGTGTTTAGATCATGTTCCATTTAATGTGATTACTGATATGATTGAGTTTAAGTCAACCATCTTACAACTTGTGTTCTATTTGTCTCAGCTGTTGTTTATTTTTTCCCTCTTTCTTTCTTTAAAATTATTTTAGTGTTATGTAGGATCCCATTTTACTACCACTATTGGCTTATTAACTCTATTTCAATGTTTTAAGGTTTATATTGTGCTTCTTTAGCCTGTTACAGTCTACCTTCACATAACATACCACTTCACATGTAACATAGGAACCTTACATCAGTACTTCATTCTTCGTGCTATTGTATGTCTTATGCATGTGTGTGTTTGTAGGTATCTGTCAGTATACATATATATGTACTTATCATGT